CATAGATAAATTTTTTTTAAAACATATTTAAAAATTTTTAATATTAAAAACTCTTTGATTTAAAGTTGCACAGTATTTATCTACATTTTTTTGCACATATAAATTTAGCAAATAAAATTCTGAATATAATATATATATATATATATATAGGTTATGAATACACTGAAATTTTTTTTTAATTTTTTCCCCATAAATTCATCAAATAAAATTCTAGTGTAAATATAGGTTATGTATACACGGAAAAAAAATTTATTTAATTAAAGTAATCGGACTATTATCAAATAAAAATGTACCTAAAGTAAATAAATATTTACTTAAAGAAAATAATGTTTTTTTTTAATTTGAACCCATAATTTCTGTATTTAAAATAAATACTGCTTAATTGATTTAAATTATAATTATTTAATATAGAAAAAAAAATATTTCTTTGATAGTAGTCAACTCTCTAAATTTGAGTTATAGTAAGAATTAGTTCACTAATTTAAAATTAGTAAAAAAATATCTAATTTTTAGTAATTTAAAAATTTTAGTAAAAATAATATTACTAATAATAATATTTCACTAATATTTTAGAAATATTTTAGTAGAATTTAGTGAAAATTTCTACTGATTTGAATTATTTAACAAATTCTCACTAATTTTAATTTAGAAAGAAGTAAAAAAAAAACGATTATTTGAATTTTTTCTCAGTGCAGATATCTAGAATATATGTACAATATTTTTTTTTTTAGACATTTTCCCTGTTGTAAGTTGTAGAGCGCGCACTATTTACATTATCTATTAGGAGATCATTTTTTTCAATGTACTTATCTAACGATGTTATTAGCATGCTTAATTAAGTAAATGCAACACTGTAATAAGCTAATGACATGTTAGAGATGGATGAGCATAAAAGAAGTACCCTTTGTGTTGTCAAGCTGCTTCATTTTATATAATGGCTTTCAGTTATTAGCTTCCGTATAGTAGTTGGGGAAATTGAAGCTTCTTTGAAATTGTTTCTAAATTCGTGCATACTTTGGTTTTGATGGAGAGAATCTAACAAACTGTTCACAAATATATATATATATATATAGCTAAACTTTAGCCGAAGGGCCTTTATGAAATATCGAGATAAAACTAGTTTTCCCATAAAAACATAAATATATATCACTAAACTTGTATTTTCTCCTAAACAGAGTATTTTATTACACAAAATATTTTCAAACTATGTTACTTTATTTCAATTTTTTAAGTCTTTGTTTTAAATAAAGTCAAAAAGAATCTATTTTTTTATTTAATTTATAATAACTTCATCCTTAATTTAATGTAATTTGTTTCATCCATTAATGGACAATATTACAACTAATTACCAAATATTTATATTAGATATATATACTGTATAATTTAAATTTAAAACCATGTTTCAAAATTAATGATAATAGATTACAGTGTATGTGGGTTTTTGGATATATATCTATAAAATAATAGATATATATATTTTTCAGTCATTACATTATACGCATATCGTATACTTTCACTACTCACGATATTATCGATAACCATTTATATCCTAAAAGTAAATCTGATATCGCACATCCCCTGTTATTGCAATGAAACCAATTATTTCCGCTGCAAATGTAATTTATGCTTTCCATACTGATTTTCACGAATATAATTAATGCATAATATGATCGATTTTAGGTACAATGAATGGACAAAAATATAAACATATATATATATAGAACAAATACTTCTAAGAATTTTGAATTGTAAAATTTTTAGAAAATAGGGATTTCCACTAAACAAGAAATAAATCCTAATAGCCAGAAAGGAATATAAAACCAAAAATTGTTAATATTAAGACAATACTGAATATAAAAAATCAGTAGTATTAATACTGAATCAGTACTGCCAACACTAAGACAGTACTGATAATACTAAGGTAGTACTGTTTGTACTATAAGCCAGTACTGTCTATATTATAATACCAGAACCAGAATCAGCTTAGGCTGATTTTGGTGCATTTTACTACTAAAATACCGACCAAAACAACAATGTCACTGACGTAAGTTTTTGTTTAACACAGCAGTACTGATAATACTAAGTCAGTACTATAAATACTGAACCATTACTTTCTGTATTAAGCCAATTCTAAGCCAGTACTGCTTTGGTATAGTCAATTTGTAATTAGCCAGAATAACACCAAACACCAAAATTTTTAGTGCTACAATATTTAATATACCCAAAAAAAGAAAAATCACGTTAAAATTTAAAACTGTTCAAGGAGTTCCGACCTGTTTCCGAATATATACAACTACCCCAAAGTAAAATCCCCCATAAATGAGCAGTTAAAATTCCTTTAAAGTTACTGTATATATATTTATACAGTGATAATAATAGTAAAAACTTCCAAATGGAAAATCCTCAAAGAAATGAGGTGGATAAGGGAATATCCCCCTCTCAGAAATGTAAGCAATGGTATGATAATAAAAAAGAAATAATAATAATAATAATAGTAATAGTTGCTAATATACACACGAATAAACCGAACAAAGCAAACCCAAAAACAAAACACTTCTATTGTTCCTGTAACCCAGCATAAGTATATATAGCAAAATCTAATAATAATCGACATCCGCGAGTGTAACCTCTATATAGGTGCGTTTGTTAAGCATTTCAAGAAAGCTTTGTAATTTATATTTTTAGCCATTTAGAGATATAGGGGGCTTTGGACATAAAAAAGGTACAAAAGCAATGATGCACCATACTATACATATATGTACAGACATTAAATATAAACATGAACTATATTTCATTATCCATTAATTATCAGTAGCGAAAACCGTATTTATTCTAATGGCAGGAATTTAGTAACTGATTTGCCATCAATTACTTTTTTACTGATACAAAATTTAAAGAGTACACTGAAAAAACAATACTGGTTGGAATAAACGAAATTCTGGTTATTCCAACTAGAATTCTAGTTGTGGTATATTTAATTTTATGGATATCAGTTCAAAAGATCCAGTCCATTATAATTGATGAAATGAAATCAATTATGATTCTGGTTAGTTTAACTAGAATTCTTATGTTATTATAATAAAGAAATTATATTTCAAAAAGAATTCTGGTTAAGGTATATTTTATATTATGATTCTAGTCAAGCTAACCAAAATTCTGGTTAACTTAACCAGAATAATGGTTGAAATAACCAGAATTCCGGTTAATGAAACAATTTTGATTAAACTAATCAGAATCATAATGCTCAATACACCCAAACTAGAATTCTAGTTGTAAGAACTAGAATTCTGGTTAAATTAACTTGAATTCTTGTAGAAATAACCAAAATTCGGGTTAATCAAAAAATTTTAGTATAACTGAGCAGTAACAAAATGTTAAATATACCCTAACGGAAATTCTAGTTGAGATAACTAGAATTTGGTTTAGTTAAACAAAATTCTGGTCAATTAACTAGAATTCTGTTTGAAATAACCAGATTCTGTTAAAAATTAACCAGAATTCTGTTTAAACTGACTAGAATGATAATAGTAAATGTACAATAACAGAAATTTAAGTTGGAATAACCGGAATCTGGTTATTTCAACCAGAATTCTAGTTAATTTGACAAGAATCTGGTTGGACAGAATCTGGCTCTACCAACTAAAATTCTGGTTAGCGTATATTTAAACCTTATGATTTGATTAGTTTAACAAAAATAGTAAGATTAACCAGAATTTTAGTTAATTTTACCAGAATCAGGTTATTTCAATTAGAATTCTGGTTAGTATAATCAGATTTTGGTTAATCTAATAAAAATTCTATATTTAACATTATGATACCGTGTACTATAATCAAAATTTTTAGATTAATCAAAATTCTAGTTATTTGAACCTGAATTCTAGTTAATCTATTAACCAGAATTACAGTTGGATAAACATGAATTCTAGTAATGGAATATATTTAACTTAATGACTATGGTTAATTTGACCATTATTGTCAAATTAACCAGAATTTTAGTTAATTTAACCAAAATCTGCTTATTTCAATCAGCATTCCAGTTAATTAACCAAAATTTCTGTCAGCTTAACCAGATTTTGGTTATTCCAACTATAATTATAGTCATCAGGGAAATATTTAACATTCTTATTCTGGTCAGTTTAAAGAAAATTCTGGTTATTTCGAACTAAATTTTTGTTTATTTAAACAGAGTCTGGTTATTTTAATCAGAATTCTAATCAATTAACCAAAATTCTGTTTAACTGAACCGGATTCTATTTATTTCAACTAGAACATCTGTTAGGGTATATTTAAAATTGTGATTCTGGTTACTTATACCAAAATTTCTCAGATTAACCAGAATTCCGGTTACGTCTACAGGGATTAAAATTATTTTAACCATAATTCTAGATAAAAGAACTAGAATTCTGGTTAAAATAATTTTAATTCTTTAATTTAACATTAGGATTCTAGTTAGTTTTATCAAAATTATTAACTAGAATTCCGGTTACGTCTACAAGGATTAAAATTATTTTAACCATAATTCTAGATAAAAGAACTAGAATTCTGGTTAAAATAATTTTAATTCTTTAATTTAACATTAGGATTCTAGTTAGTTTTATCAAAATTATTAGATTAACTAGAACTCTAGTTGTTTCTACCAGAATTCATGTTAATTTAAGCAGAATTCAAGTTAATTTATCCAAAATTCCAGTACTTCCAACTAGAATACTGGTTAGGGTATAGTTAACATTATGATTCTGGTTAGTTTAATTAAATTTGTTAACTTAACCAGAATTTAGGTTATTTTAAACAGAATGCTAGTTAATAAAACCAGAATTCTGGTTATCATATCTGGTTTTCATAACCAGAATCATAATTTTAAATATACCAAAACCAGAATTTTTTTCAGTGTACTAAATCTCAGCATTTGTTTTGTCCTAATTTAGTCAGCAATTTCGCCAAAAAAATATACATAAAAATTCATGTACTATAAAAATTAAGATACAAAAAAATGTATTTACCTTGATACTGTCGTAGCATGCTGTGACTCGTCCATTCTGCACCTCAACATTAGCTGGTGGATGCGCGAACTTGCATTCAGTGTCTGGTCTGGTGCACTTGTTGCGTTGAAACTCCCTGCAGACCTCCAATTGAAGCCATCGGGAATCTTTACCGTTGAGTAGGTTGTTCATGTTGACCATTGCCATCTTCCAAAAGTTGACTTCTTTTTTTATTTTATTTTTTTATTTATACGGGATGGATTACCCCTATTATATTATCAGTTGTTCACTCCGCGTCGTCCGCGTCTTGTCGGTATCACACTCGCGGCGACGATTACTATTTGTTACCAACGATATTTACAAATGAGATAATTGTTGGGTTCACTTTTATAATTAGGAAAGAGGAGAGGGTAAGAAAAATATAATTTTTCAAATCAAATTCAATAATATTAAAAAAAAAAATTAGATTCTTTTAATCTTTAACACATAAAATGGGGTGTGGGGGAAAGGAACCCAAGAATTACCTCAGGTTTATAGATATCGTTTTTAGAATATATATATATATACCTCGTGGAGCCTTTATTGTGATTCTTTTGCAATGGAACGTGATATCGTCGTCTTTCTTGATTTAAAGATTTTTTGTAGTTGCTGATTGGTGCGTGACTGATTGGCAGCGCCTTTGGATTTGACGATAAACTGATCCGAAGATTATATTACAGTTCGCGATTATCGTTTATTGGCACTCTTATTAAATTTCCTTTGGATGATGTCCGCAAAAGTATCAGGAAGATCTCTTCTCGTTTTACCCCTTTCGTTGATGTCGCTATTGGCCAAAGCTAAATAATTGGATTCTTATTTTTTTTTTTTTTGTTTTTCAAAAAGCCAAGTGTCAAGGTCACAAGAAAGGTGGGGTAAAAGCGTGAATTTTTTTTTTGGATTCTTTTTTTGAGAAGAAGGAAGAAGGGGAGAAAATTTGCTTGATAGAAAGTGAAAGAGAGAAAGAGAGAGAAAGAAAGAACGCAAAGGCGGACGACAAAGCAGTACAGGCAATGTCAAAGGTTGGGCAATGGGAAAAAGGGGAGAAGTTGTAAGTTAGCGAAACGTCGCTTCCGTTCACTTCGGTTTCACGTCATTTATTCGGCGCTCTCCTGGCTCCTTCCGCGGACGACTTCCGGTACTTCTCTTCTGGAAACATACCAAAAGCGAAAAATTGCGTTACTGCGAATGCAAGTAGCCTGCTTAATATATTTTTTTTTATTTTCTCGCAAAGGAAATGTCTTAAGATATACATATATAAGTCACAGGATCGTCGACAATTAACTCCCTTTTATTATATTAAATAATTAGTATAATAAATTATTAAAAAAATTTCTTCTTCATAAAATCTCAAAAGGAAAATAGGGATTTTTTTTTTGTCAACGATCCTGTGTATAGGAACTAGAAAAATAAATTGTATATACATTTGTGTATAAACGTGCGCTTGCGTGTATACATGGGCGTGGATTATTAATAAGAGTGGGGGGTAAAAGCAGGGTCAGTTTAAAAAGCGCAGATTTACCAATGCAAGCTATATATATGTTAGTGAGGCCCGTTTTGTAAAAAAAAACTAGCTTAAGCATTTTTTACATCTATCGTGCGTATATATTGATATCAAGAAAATTTTCCCCAGAAAAAAAAATTATTTTTCTCTAACGGTTTGAGTTTCTTCTAATAACCGCTAGGTGTTCAAATTGGCGCCACTGTCAAGTGTCAGCACAAATAGACAGTATTTATTTATAAATTAGGGAATTTTTATTTATTTTTTATTATTTATTATTCTGCCCTACAATTTTTAAAGAATTAACAAAATTTGTAACTAATCGTGATCACTGATTACGAACTGATCAGTTATTCAAAATTCAAAATGGCGGATCCAATATGGCGTTACTAATTTATTATTTCCTTATCAAAACTAAAGTACGGGCGCTACACTGGTACCAGTACTGCGCCAGTAGTGAACTCTTTTATTTTCTGGTATTATTATTATTATTATATTATTTATTGAAAAAAAATCTTGTCCAAAGGAAATTACTTTCGAAAAATAGAAAAATAAGAAACTTTCTCCCACAGAAATTCAACGAAGCGTACATTGCGTTTAGTTTCGTATAGTTGGTAGCACGCGCGCTGATTTATATATTGAGTCTTAAGGAGGGGAGGGGAAATCTTTTTATAAAGAGCTCTGCTGTAATAATAACTATATTTTCAAGTCAATATACAGAAAAAAAAGTGGCAATTCCAATACTTTATAACTATAAACAAAACTATAGTTTCTATTTTTAGATTTATATAAAAATATATTATAGTAACGTTACAGTTCATAACGATATTGCAAGAAAAGCGTCATTTTTTTCGAATTTACACGTTCCCTATAAAAAAATTAACATAATTCATTACTGGCGCAGTACTGGTATCAATACTCCGTGCCAGTACTTCGCCAGTAGTCAATTTCTAAGAAGAATTACGATATGTGATTTTTTCCTCGGCAATAAATGAAAAAATAAAAATTTTCAAAACAGCGTAAGGTTTCACTAGAATAGTAAAAGATTTAACTAAAACAACTAAAACTTTTACTATTTCAATGAAATTTTTAGCTGTTTCAAGTAAATTTTTTTTTTTTTTTTTTTTTCGTTTGAAGCGATTTTCAAGAAAGGCAAGTGGAACATTTTTTTCCAAGTAAAAAATCTGGAGTATAAAATGAAGAAAAAAAGAATACAAAGAGAAAGAGAATGAAAAAAGAAATCTATATATAGTGCAATTTTGCGACATCCCACAAATAGTAAGCCGCTTATATCAAAAGAGAGAGATAGAGAGAGAGAGACGTCGCGGGGAAAGGTCGTTTTTCAAACAGTTGAAGGAGAAGATTCGAGACGTATGTCCTCTATCTCTTTCACTCTTTCTAGGATATTATATTATACTTGGCAGGGGATTTTAAAAGAAATAAAATAATATAGCTGGACAAGTCATTTGTTTTGTTATATGTGCCTGCGCGTTTACACAACTATATAACCAGAGATTTTGTCATGATTCTATATCGTGCGCAAAAGCCGATTTTCTTTTTCCAACTAACTCTCAAAAAGCTTTATTCTTGAAAATGACGTTACTCGAATCCTTTACCTTCCCATCCCCCCACCCCTAAAAAAAAATTCTCTGCACGCATAAAGATGATAGAAAAGGAAAAATGAACCCCCTTGACCAGAAAGACACTGCTGCTAATATTTTTTACTTTATAAAAGCTGATAATTAAAAAAAAAATTTCTTTTTTAAAAAATACGATTTTTTAAAAATAAGTTATTTAAAAGGTTTGTAAACAATTTCTAGACGTAAAATTGTGAAGATATTTTAGTTATTACAAACAAAAAGTAGTTAATATTCAAAAAGAAGGTAAAAGATCTGAAAGTCAACGTAGCTGTGCGGTAAGAGTACACTGCTCGCGTCCCAAGGGTCCTGGGTTCGATCCCCCATGTGTTAGAAATTTTTTCAAAATTATTCTTTAGCGTTTTTTTATATATACTGTACACTCGACTCTAAATGTAAGAATTTTAAATAGAATATAATTTAGAAATAAAAAAATGTAAAAACTGTTATTTTCAAATAAATAACAAATATAGTAATAAACAATAAAATTATTACAAAATAGGGTAATTTAAAGGAAAACTGACAAGGCCCTAATAAAAATTTCGCTAAGTACACAGAAAATTAAAAGGCATTAAAATAAGCTGCAAAATGTATTAAAATAAGCAAAATTGGATTAAAATAATAAGCGTTGCAGCTTATTTTAATGCCTTTTAATTTTCTGTGTAGACTATTGATAGGGAACATTGTAACAAGCTTTTAGGGCGCTATCAAGTTTCTCTAAAAAAGGGCCAATATGGAAAAATTTCTGCACAGGTAACGAATATTCAAAAAAAAAAAAAAAATTTTTCAATAAATTCTTCAAAGAAGAGCATATTAAAAAGAAACTTTTTTGTCATATCAATAAATGTCAAAAAAATCTTTGACAGAAAATCTTCATTAGGCTTTAATAATGATTGAGTTAATTCCGCCAAACAAAACTAAAGAGAAAAGAAGAGAGAAAATTTACAAAGATTTTTTTTTTTTTTTTTGCATTATTTCCATATATACACAATAAACGCGCGAATGGAGATAAAATATAAAAAAAGGGAGAGAGAGAGAGAGATAAATGACAAGAGGGCTTTTTCTCTTCTCATCTTCTCTGCACACGTCTTCTGGCTTTTGTATGCGTGTGTGTGTGTGTGTGTCTGCTCATCTCGCGCGGCAATGTCTGACAGTTTACATAATCGAAAGCATTCTCTTGGAAAGGTTAAAAATCATTTCCATGCCACACGATTCCAGTAGGGGGAATACTTGACCATGTATAACGCCCATCGCGTTCGCATCATCGAATTTTTTCAATCGACCGTAATGGCGTCCGTGATCATCGATGCAGTATAATGTATACGCCATCGATATATAAATAATAACCATTATTTTGCCCTTTTTCCCCCTCCCCTTCATCGCTAACTCTCTTCTAATGTACATTAAAATGAAAAAACATCGATAAATATTGTGCCCCTTCCCCCTTTTTTAAAAGATTTAATTTTATTTTCTAATATTTTTAAACGCATCTAAAGTATTTTTTTAAATTAATATTTTGTACTATTTTTTGAGATTTTTTACTATATATAAAATATAATTATAATGGTTATAATTTGAAATAATTATAATTATTACTATTACCAATAATTATAAATGATAATAATTATAAATAGTAATAAAAATTATTTAATTAAAAAATTAAAAAAACAATTAAAAATTTGTCTATATTAGACGTTTTTTAAAATAAAGTATTTTAAACTGGCGCGCGCTATTTCGACCAATGAGGTAGGAGCATGCGCAGTATGACAGCTTTCTGATTCGTAGAATTAAGGGAACGGCCACAGCTCAGCTATCTAAGTAGGGTCGTCATGGTAACGTATAAGAGTGAGAGAAATAAAGAATGTTTTTTATTTCTCTCACTCTTATATGTTACCATGACGATCCTACACGAAGCTAAAGTACGCAACGTTTATGATAAACGATTTTTAAAGAAATAATTTTTTAATATGAAAAATTCTATAATTTTTTGCCTAAAAAAAATATTCTTTTATAATTTGTTAATTAATGAAAACTACAAAAAATACATTTTTTAGGTAAAAAAATTAAAGAATTTTTCATTTTAAAAAATTATTTCTTTAAAAATTGTTTATCATAAACGTTGCTTACGCATAAACGTATAACCAGAATTCTGGTTATTCCAACTAGAATTCTGGATAGCTTAAGTAGAAAGTAATGTTAAAAATATTCTAATCAAAATTATTTTTCAGTGTGAAAATATTATATTCTAATTTTAAGAATATCTTCTTGGCGCCTATTTAAGAACATTTCTTAAATTAAATTTTTTTTCTTTTATCTATAGAATATCTCTTAATCAAAGAATTGTTTCTTATTTCGAGAATATTATATATTATATTCTAACTTTAAGAATAAATTGCATAGAATAAATTCTTAAAAATAGGCGCCAAGAAGATATTTTTAAATTTAGAATATAATTTTTTTCAATGAATTAGTTAAGAGTCGAATCGATGGTATTTATATGCGTGTAAGGTAACAAAAAAGAAAAATTAATGAGAAAAATTTGTTTGAACGTGATATTTTGCACTTGATTCAACGAAGCGTTGACAGTAAAGGGACACACACACACGCACACACAAACAAATGTTTGTAAAGAAAATGTTAAGAGTTGAAAAATCGCGAGTCGTCAATTCCGACTATAAAAGTGTGTAAAATCTGTCAAGTGTGAAAAGTGACGAATAAACTGACTGGAAATAAGAGACGCACAGGAAGCAGGACGTTGCGCATCACCCTTCGCATCCGCATCTTTTAAATGCATAAGTTTTGCGGGTTTCGATCGTGAAGCAGACTTTACGGTCTAGTTACATCGAAAAAGACGATGATATTGTGCATCTTGCGTAACGCCTTGCTGTTGCTCTTCTTGTTAGAATGCATATATATATATATATATATATATATATGAAGAACAAGTAGACGTGTGTAAAGTGAAACCTCACGTTACAATAATATAAAAAAAAGAAAGAAATACGGAAAAA